TAGTTTTGCTATCAAAGAAAGTCATGATTCCTGGGTTTTCTACCTTCTAAGCTTTTGTAAAAACAGATATAAAATAAATATTTGAAATATGTAAAGTGCTTTATCATGTAAGGGGTAAGCAGTTGTGATACTGCAGTGGATAGATTGAATGCTATAAATAACTGTTTTTCCAGACTGAAGGAATATGTAGCTTTCTATTCTTCTCAGTTTGCAGAGTGAGTACAGAAGCTGTTACAAAGAAACCCACTGTATTAAACTATTTATGTTGCAGTTTAGATAGTATATGCATATGAGTGGTGGTGGTGATTTAATCGTTAAGTTGTGTCCAATTCTTGTGACCCCCATGGACTATAAAGCCTGCTAGGCTCCTCTGTCCATGGGATTTCCCAGGCAAGAATACTGGAACAGGTTGCTACTTCCTTCTCCAGGGGATCTTCCTGACCCAGGGATCAAACTCACATCTCCTGCATTGTAGATGGTTTCCTGCATTGCAGTCAGATGCTTTACCACTGAGCCACCAGGAAAACCCATATGCATCTGACTTAATAATAATGAAATATTGATCTAACTCAACTAAGAAAATGTCTGTATTGCAACAATTTCTAAACCATAGCCTAAGTTCAAATCTACATTTAGATGAAGAGCTAAGTATTGTGATCTAGTTCATAACCCCTCCAAGAGATTCTTTTGAGTCTCTCTAAAAAGCCACAGTGACAGGTAACAGGGAGGAAAGTGTGTCCCTAGATGTCAAGGCCCTTCTGGTCAAGAATTCCAGTACGATCCCTTTGCAGAACCCATGGATCAACCACATTTCTGTATACTGAGTCAGGGACTAGGAAGAACCTTTCTTAGGTATATTTAAGGTTGAAAAAAAATTCACACAGCCCTGGTGAAAAAAAACAACCAATAGAATTTTTATATGCAAATTATATGAATGCATTTGAATAAAATTGGACTGGTATCTTAGATGCTAAGAATTGCTAATTTCCAACTTAATGTGAAATATGTATATAGTTCACCTACTGTACCATGTTACTTTGCTTCCAAAAGGGATTTTGCCACTGATGTGTTGGTTTTAATGGCGCACACACACACACACACACACACACAAAACAAAGAAAACACTTGATTTATTGGCTCTATCAGTAAGTGTTGTAAATTCCTCTGACCATTTATTAAAATGAACATTTTGGACAGGTTGGTTTGTCAGCTTTGAGGTAAGGCTGTTTTCGGTAGATATCTGACCTTTGCTAGTTATTGAGTGGACAAATGAAATGAAGCACGTGAATCGAAGCAGGGAAGAGATGGGGGGATGTGAGTTTGATGGAATCACAACCAGTAATTTTGAAATGTGACTGAATTCTTCCCACAATTAAAATCTTTCATTCTGCTCCTTCAAAGCTAATTTCTTTCTTGTTTTTCTGAATAGTTGCTTCCATTAATCTCACTCTAGGTAATGATGGTAATGATACAATTATATGTAATCATTGCCTGAATTCAATATGCAACACATCAGTCCCTTTGTGTGGTGATTGAACAGCTCTCTACAGTCTTTGGTTTGGAGCATTTCCATCGTGCCTTGCCAAGATCAAATTCAAAAGTCTGTGACATTTTACATAACATCAGTCAAGACAAGTGTTCCTACTGTCCCTTGCAGCAACTGGGCAAACTCCTCCATCTGGCTGGTGCCAGCTGAAGCTGGGGTGAAGGCATGAGGCAGGCTAAGTGAGGTTTGCTGTTTTCATTGTTTCCTAGCACTTAGAATATCCAGGAACAAACTAAAAACGAGAACTTTGAGAAAGGCCTTATAGCATGCAGGTGGCGCATCCGCTTAAACTACTAATGACACAAATCATATCTAAATGAAATTATTATGCTATTTTAATTGAAGTAGAGTTGATTTCCTCTAATGTTGTGTTAGGTTTAGATGCACAGAAACATGATTCAGTTATATATACATACATAAATATTTTTTCAGATTCTTTTCCTCATCGGTCCTCATCAAATATTGTCTTTTATACTGAATATGTGTGCTGTATGGAAGGTTCTTGTGTTTTATTTTATATCTGTTTGTTTGTATCTATTAATCCCGGGCTTCCCTGGTAGCTCAGCATTAAGAATGCAGAAGCTGGTGGAGACTCAGTTTCAATATTTGGAGCAAGATCCCCTGGAGGAGGGCAAGGCAACCCGCTCCAGTGTTCTCGCCTGGAGAATGCCTTGGACAGAGGGGCCTGGCGGGCTACAGTCCATGGGGTCACCAAGAGTTGGACAGAACTGAAGCCACTTAGCACATAGGCACGCATCTATTAACCCCAAATTACTAATTTATTTCTCCCCCACCGTTCCCCTTTGGTAACCATCTGTTTGTTTTCTATGTCTGTGGGTCTATTTTTATTTTGTATATAATTTCATTTCTTTTTCTTTTTTGATTCTACGTATGAGCAATGTCACATGATATTTGTTTTTTTTAATTGAAGTAGAGTTGATTTCCTCTAATGTTGTGTTAGGTTTAGATGCACAGAAACATGATTCAGTTATATATACATACATAAATATTTTTTCGGATTCTTTTCCTCATCGGTCCTCATCAAATATTGAGTCTTTTATATTGAATATGTGTGCTGTATGGAAGGTTCTTATGTTTTATTTTATATCTGTTTGTTTGTAACTATTAATCCCGGGCTTCCCTGGTGGCTCAGCATTAAGAATGCAGAAGCTGGTGGAGACTCAGGTTCAATATTTGGAGCAAGATTCCCTGGAGGGGGGCAAGGCAACCCGCTCCAGTGTTCTCGCCTGGAGAATGCCTTGGACAGAGGGGCCTGGTGGGCTACAGTCCATGGGGTCACCAAGAGTTGGACAGAACTGAAGCCACTTAGCACATAGGCATGCATCTATTAATCCCAAATTACTAATTTATTTCTCCCCCACCGTTCCCCTTTGGTAACCATCTGTTTGTTTTCTATGTCTGTGGGTATTTTTATTTTGTATATAATTTCATTTCTTTTTCTTTTTTGATTCTACGTATGAGCAATGTCACATGATATTTGTTTTTCTCTGACTTATTAAGTGTGGCATATTTATACAATGGAATATTACTCAATCATAAAAAAAGAACGAAATAACACCGTTTGCAGCAATTTATTATGTTTTTAAGGTAAAGGGAATATTTATTTCAAAAATTTCAAACCTACTTTTCTAACTTGGAAAGCTACTGTTCTATCTGGTTGCCATTCAGTATTTGCCTATTCCTCCAAGTACTAGTAGGTAGATGTATGCTTATAGTTCTTTCTTTTTTTAATGTAGTATATAGATGCAACTCTATTGTGTTCTGAAGACAGATAATACTTGCTATTCAATTTAATTCAATTAAGACAATTCTGTGTGTTCTGATACAACAGAATTGAACATTTCCATATCTTCTAAAAATTAAATAATGAGAGATGGAGGTGACTGTAAGATACTAGCTTTTCCATTATCCCATGCTTAAATTTTTTACTTTACCTGTCTTTAACACTTTATTGATATATAGTTAACTTTCAATGCTATGTTTAATTTCTGCTGTGCAGAAAAGTGACTCAGCTATATATACAGTATATGTGTATGTATATATATATATGTATGTATATACATGTATATTTTTTCTTTTCCATTATGGTTTATCACAGGATATTGAATACAGTTTTCTGTGCTATACAGGAGGACCTTGTTGTTTACCAATGTATATATAATATTTGAAATCTGCTAACCCCAAACTCTTAATCCTTCCTTTGCCTTCCTTTTACTTTAAAAAAAAAAAAAACTCCCTTTCTAAATAAATATCATAACTTTTTCTGGCCTGCAGCAAGTATTTATAATTCATAATTTTACACTGACCTATTAATTTGATTTACTGATAATTTGTTTAAAGGACAGTATCTCCCTAAGTGTATGTTATGGATTGCAGGGTGTAGCATGACAGATAGATTGCCAAAGCTCAGTACAGTCTGTCCCATTGCATTCCTCCAACTCACCTTGTTCTGCTCTCCCCAGTCTGATATACTTAACAGCCATATGCTTTTTTGGACACTTCAAAGTTCTCCTTGCTTTGGGGCCTTTGCACTCTCTGTTCCCTCTGTTTGGAGGGTCTTCTCCTGTATCCTTGAGAAAGGCCTTCTGTCATCCTGAGTTACCTTCTATGATCCCATCTAATGTTATTTTCTGCAGGGCCTTGATATTTTTCTGGTTGGTTGGTTAACTGATTGATTTTTCTTTTCTTTTTCCATTAGAATGTAAGTTCCAAGAGAACAAGGACCCAATTTCTCATGCCTATTACTTATGGCCAGGGTATAATGATGTGCCTGGCACCAGAGAGTGAGCCTAACAGATATTTGATAAATAAATGGATGAATAAATGAAGTACTAGGCTCATGGGGGAAAAGTGAATGTTATATAGATTAGATAAGTTGGAAAAATAGCAGACTCGAGTGATGTTTCCCTTCCAAGAGAACCATCGGCTAGTCTAAAGAGAAGCCTGGGAACTACTGGGGTGGTAGGATTTGTCTCTTTCACTCTCCCACCTCCCTCTGCTCCTTTCTCTGATCTTAGTTTCTTAAATATTTATTGTTCGGGTACTGTTTTTATAACACAATCCCGCAAGGTGGGAAGCATTAAAAGGTAAATTGAAAAAGGTCCCTGCTCTTAAACTTTATGAAGCCTTCCTCTTTCCTGAGAAAGTTAAGAGATGTACTTGGATAACTACTAAAAGCACAAAGAAACTCTAAACTCTAGTATTACTAATTATATTAGAAAACTGCTGATATGAGAGTAGACACAATCCAAGCCTTCTCCTCAAGGTTTAAGAGTGCCTATATCAGCATCAACACTGGAGAAAATCACGCCTTAATTGGGAGATGAGTCCACTGTGACCCACACCCAGGGCATCTGTGCTCTCAGCACTGCCAATGTCTCTTGATTTACCTGCTCATCACACCTTGGGCATTGCATTCCTGAAGCCTCCTCTGGTGTTCACTTTGACTTCCTTCAGAACATACTTCCATTGGTACTTTTCCTCCTGGTCAGGCTGCAGTCACTCCTGTTAGGTTGTTTAGCCAACTTGCTCCATCTTATTGTGGCTGCTTGGGCTGCAACATAATAGGGATTTTCACATTCTTTACCAGAATCTCTTTTACATTGGCCTCTGTTCCAACAGAACTTTATATAACTCCTTAAAACACATCGAGTCTAAGCTTTAAAAACAAAAAATTTCCTGTTTTAAGGCACTCTTCAATTCTGTTTTCTCACCAAAGAATGGGAGTAAGAGCTAACGGTGTTTGGATAGCCCAAGTGAGATGTTCAAGATGGAGGTCATGTTAGCTCTGCTTCTTCAGCCCACACTTCCAAAAACAGTGTCTAAAACCGAGAAACACCAGATTAATTCAGAGTCTAGAGGATAGTCTAGTCAGAGTTCATAAGATCTAGAGCCTCCCTAGATCAGAATATTCTCATCACAGGGCAACTTTTCATATTTCCTCTCAACCGTGCAAGATTTTCTTGAGTATGGCAAACAAGTTCTGCATAATCCATGAACAACTTTTCACATTACTCTAAGAATGTCATGAGTCTATCTGAGGTGGACTTAAAAGGATAGAAGGTAAATCAGTCACTATCCAGGGGCTGAAGTCCTAGCACTAATCCTTCTCACAGCTTTCCTGGGTCATATTTTTGCCAACCTTTTGCTTCTTCTCTCTTCTCAAGAATTTCTCAATGAGAAGATGAGAGCTTGGGCTAATCTGTAGAATCTAACTTGATGCCATTCTTGTTACACTTGGAACATGGATCATTGAACTTCTCTGTGTGATTTTCTTCCAAGGTTCATTTCTGTTGTGGTTCTACTCATCATCTTGGCCATCTTTTTTCATTCTTTTTAGCTATCAATTCAGTTCAGTTCAGTTCAGTTGCTCAGTCGTGTCCGACTCTTTGCGAACCCATGAATCACAGCACTCCAGGCCTCCCTGTCCATCACCAACTCCTGGAGTTTACTCAAACTCATGTCCATAGAGTCGGTGATGCCATCCAGCCATCAAATCCTCTGTCATCCCCTTCTCCTCCTGCCCCCAATCCCTCTCAGCATCAGGGTCTTTTCCAACAAGTCAACTCTTTGCATGAGGTGGCCAAAGTATTGGAGTTTCAGCTTCAGCATCAGTCCTTCCAATGAACACCCAGGACTGATCTCCTTCAGGAAGGACTGGTTGGATCTCCTTGCAGATAGACTGCAATTAATCTAGATTGAGATCCACACCTCACCTCCAGCAACTTTTACTCTTTAAATGAATCCATTGCTCAAACCTATTTTAAAAATTGATTCTAAAAAAAGGCTTCAATTTGGTCTTATTTGCTCAAGTGAAAAAAAGGTTGAACTTTTCTGTGAGGATATTAGCTAAATATTTTAAAAACATGTGACTATTTTTGCAAGTAGATGTAGGGAACATATACAACTTGGAAATGTATTCTAAGACTATTTCTCGACACTATAGACCATTAAAAAACAGAATGAAAAATACACACAAAGAGTTCTAAAGTTAAGAGTCAAATGTTGATACTAAGGTGTTCCATGAGAATTGGTAGGGAAACCTAAAATCTAAATGCCTTTAGAAATCAGGAGTCTACAGGTCCTGTGGATAGAGGACAGAGGTCCAGTGTTGGAACATGAAACCATTTAAGGAAAACTTGACAGTTCAGGGTAAGAATGGATTACTGCACTCAAAGAAATATAGTAAACTAAGAACTTGGGGAAAAGTGCATTGATTTTACAACATTTTGTTTCTTTTTGACCAGTCCTTCTTTTTCTCAGTTTTTCTGCTTTGTAAATATCTTTGACTCAAGGCAGTTTCATAGTCCACCAAACTGTGATGAAACCAGGGGTCTAATTGCCCACTATTTCCTTGAGTACATTGTCAGATGTGGCTAGCCATGGGGTTGGTGTCTAGTGCTTTTGAAACTGATCAGTGATGCTTTGGTTTGTTGGTTTTGGAATGTTGGGTGATTAATAGGTTTTCATCTCAGGTTCATATAGCTCCAGTGTGTCTTAAAGAAATATTTACTGAAAGAGTGAGAGTGAGGTAGGCAGAGTAAGTGCTACTGAGACCCTGGGCATGTGACTTAGTCACTTCATTGCCATCTATCCAATAGCTCTGCAAAGCAAATAGTAATAACCTCACTGTATGGAGGAGAACAGGATATCTGAAACTGGTTGCAGTTCACCAGAAAATAAAGTTAAAATTTGACTTACCCAGATCTGTGTGACTCTAACACCAAAATTCTTTCCAAGACCTCAGGCTGCTTCAGCTATTGTGTTATTTGCAGAATGCTACAAAAAATAGTATCTCTTTCTGTATAGTTATTTTAAAATATGAAATATTTAACATTCCAATTGCTAAGCTTCCGCACTAAGGAACAGTAACTTACTAATCTCGCCAGTAAATCCTAAACTCAGAAAATATTAAGGCACTGTGCATTTATTTTGGTTAAAATAATTTATGTAAATTTTAATTCAAATTAGGCTCAACCTTCGGCACCTAGAATATTAATTCAGAAACTAGTCATATTAGTCCAGATTCAAACACACAGAGTTTTGGCCAAGGACACTAAAGCAAACGCTTTATCTTTATTAGCCATCAATTGGCAAGCATTTATTGAATACCTTCTAAGGACTGGGGAGGAGCTTGAACTTCAAAGAAATTGCCATCTGTTGGGCAATATGACTAAATCACATGAAGCAATTTGGAGGGGAAAAAAAGTAAGATAGCTCATAATTAATTGTTCATTTACTGTGGAAATTCAAAGCAGAAGGTTATTAAAGCACAAAAAATTTATTGAACAAGAAGCATGGAAAATTTCATGGAAGATACTCCACTTTGGGTAGCCTACAAAAAATGTAGAGGAACTCTGAGTAAATTGAGAAATATGAAGAAATTCATAGGTGTGATGAATATAAACATTTATGTTGGTGAGTATTGGAAGAGGTTGCATAAATTGATGTATTAGATTCCAGAGAATTCTTGTAGTGTGTGTGTTTGTCCTCTTATAAATTGGGTAAGCCTAGGGACCTTGTGTATCTTCCTTACCTTCTGTCTCAAGCAATGGTGTTGATTGAGCATGTTGTAAGGGCTTAACAAATATAGTGTGGCTCTTCATTGTGAAAAGAAGGAAGAGAATCTTGATCTGATTTAGTAGAAAATGGAAAATATAACTTAGAAAATATTTTTTAAATAATTAATTCCAGTTAGCACATACTTACTGGTTTTATTGTTATCATTTGCTAAAAAGATTGTTAATTTTGATTAAAAGTTCATTCAATCACTGACATATATATATATATATATATATACACACACATACACACACACACATACACATATATATATAAAATAGGGAAGTGGGTTTAGAATAAACATTGATTAGATAATGCAAAAGTCACTTTCATTTAGCTTCAGACTTCTTCATTATAAGTCATCTTCTCTGAATTAACTAAAGGTTAATGATTGCTTTGCATTTGCACTCCTGAGCACACTTCAACAAAAGTGAAGTCAAGTCTGTGTTGACTGGAAGAAAATACAAAGCCCTAAGTGGGAAGTAAATTAAAGATAAACATGACGTATCCATTCCCTCAGTCACTGTGGTAGCCAGCCTCCACAGTGGCCCCCGGTCATCCTTGTCCCCTGCTATTCACACTCTTACATAATTCTCCCCTGTTGTGTGTGAGCTGGGTTTTCTGATTCACTTCTGATGAACAGAAGAAAGCAGGATGATAGTGTGTGACTTGGGGATGAGATCATAAAAGCAATATGGCGTCTCTCGCTTTTGGTCTCTGGAATCACTGTCTCTGGGGAGAGAGTCACTCCAGCTGACATGTTGGGGGCTGCCCTGTGACGAGACCCTGAATGGCCAGGAACTGAGGCTTCCTGCCAACAGCCATGAGAAGGAGCTTAGAAAGACATCTTCAGGCCAGGTAAGCCTTTAGTCGTGGTTAACCCCGACTGACACCTCGACCACAGCGTCAGAAAAGACCTTGAGTCAGAAACACTGGGCTAAACCCTGCTCAGATTCCTGAGTCGCATAAACTGTGAGATAATAAATGTTTATTGCTTTAAGTCAGTCAGCGTGTCTGAGGACGCATGTGAAAGGCATCGAGTTCCCTGATGATATAGAGAAAAAACTTGGTTCCTGCCCTTAAGGATTTAACAGCTGAGTGTGGAGAAGAACACGTATGCAAACACCCATTGTGTGAAACGGTAGGGAGAGGATTGAGGGGCAGTAACAGGCTCCTGGCAGAGGTAACATTCAGGTTGACTTTTGACAGATGAACAAGCTATAGACACGTGGGGATGTTAAGGGTGTCCTACATAAAGGGTTCTCCTTTGTGATAAGATTGACAGAATTGAAGAAATGGAGTGGCTGCAAAATTAAGTTAATAATTATAGTAATAACACTAAAGTACTTCTTTTTTAAACTTTAATACTATTTCCACATAGTGATTTACTTGACTCCAACACGAACCGAGTAAGACAGGCAGAGCAGACTGATAGAATCATGATATTAGTCTGCCCATTTCGTCAGTAGGGAAGCCACAGTTCTGAGGGACTTGGTGTCATGTCCAAGGCCAGTCAGTGGCCAAGATGGAGCTTAGCGTTTTGGAAAACAAGTGGAAAGTGTAAATCCATATGTATAATGAAATAATCTCAATTAATTAGAAAATGGTGGTGAAGGGGCCAGAAGGAAGTGAAATCAATTCTGTAGAAGTTTCAAAGAAGAAAGATGTATGGTGCAAGAGGTGTGCTAAGCAGAAAGCCTGATGGTTTTCTCCCAAGAAGCTTCTCAGGGAGGTGAACTTACCAGTGTCAGAAGTTAGCGGCTCAGCTTTGAGAGCTTGTTGCAAACCTGACTTAGCCAGCACGCCAGCGGATCTGTCTCTCGAGGGAGTATTTGTATTAGCGAAGTACACAGATTTGTTACGGTATTGAGAAGTGTCACTGCCATGCACCTCAGAATGTTCTGTTGGCCCCACCAGAACCTCCCTTCCCTGTAGACAGGCCTTCAGGGGAAGCCCCCTTATAGTAAAATAAACAAGACAAAACCCCCAAACAAACTAACAAACAGAACACTTCATGAGGCCCGTGGTCTCAGGATGGAGAGAATTGACTAGATAAACTTTTTTGAGACATTCTATGGGTGGGATGGGGAGATGGAGGCATTTTTTCCTCTTTGGCGATCATGCTGCCAGGGAGATCAGTCTCCTGACCAAGAGTTATTTATCCCCCAGTAGAAATATATGTCCCTAACTCTCTGTATTAGTTTCCTAAGGCTGGCTGCTCTTAATAAAATAGCACAAACTGAGTAGCTTTAAAAAACAAATTTATTTTCTCACAACTTTCTAAATTAGGGTGTGAAGTAAAGGTGTCAACAAGGCATTCCCTCCGAAATCTCTTGGGAAGAACCCTTTCTTTTTTCTTTTAATTTTATTGATGTATAGTTCATTTATAATGTTGTATTAATTTCTTCAGGACAGCATATAGTGACTCAGTTATACTCACACACGTATATATGTATGTATATTTATACATATGTCTGTGCTCCGTTGCTAAGTTGTGTCCGAGTCTTTGCAACCCCATGGACTGTAGCTCGCCAGGCTCTTCTGTCCATGGAATTTCCCAGACAAGTATACTGGAGTGGGTAGCCGTTTCCTTCTCTAGGGGATCTTCCCCACCCAGGGATCACATCTCCTGCTTGGCAGGCAGATTATTTACCAATAAGCCACCAGGGAAGCCCATATTAATAGTAGGGGACTTCAACTGTCAGCAATGAATAGATCCTTCAGATAGAAAATCAGCAAGGAAACAATGGAATTGAATTACACTCAAGAACAAATGGAATTAACAAACATAGAAAAAAATTCCATTCAGCGGCAGCAGAATGCACATTCCTCCCAAGAGCACAAGGAATATACTCCAGGATAGATAATTGGATAGACAGAAAACAGATCTCAGAAAGAAGACTGAAATGACACCAACTATCTTTGCTGAGCACAATGGTATAAAACTAGAAATCAACAAGAGGAAAGTCTGAAAATCTACAATTACATAGAATCTAAGCAGCACGCTTCTGAACAACCAGTGAGTTAAAGGGGGTGTAAAAATATCTATATTCTTTTCCATTATGATTTGTCAGCAGAGCATTGAATATGATTCCATGTGTATACAGCAGAAGGGTGTTGCTTCTCCATCCTATATATAATAGTTTGCCTTTGCTAATCCCAAACTCCCATTCCTCCCCTCCCCTAACCCACATCTCCTTCTTGACAACCACAGGTCTGTTCTCTTTATCAGTGAGTCTGATTTGTATTGGGTGTAATTGCTTTAGAATGTTATGTTAGATTCTTCTGTACACAAAGTGAATCAGCTGTATGCGCACATATATCCCCGCTCTCTCGGACCTCCCCTCCAACCCCCAGCCCTGGTCCCGCCTGTCTCGGCCATCAGAGCCCTGCATTGAGCTCCTTGTGCTATAAGCAGCTTCCCTCTGACAATCTCTTTTACAGAGTGGTGTACACTTGTCAATGCTGCTCTCTTAATTCGTCCCCCCTCCCCTTCCCTGCCCCGTGTCCACATTTTCATTCTCTGCATCTGTGTCTCCAGTCCTCTAGTCCTGCCCTACAAATAGGTTCATCTGCACCATGTTTCTTGATTCCGTATGTATGAATTAGTATGGTATATTTGTCTCTTCTTGACTTACTTTACTCTGTGTGACAGGTTCCAGGTGTGTCGCATCTGTGAGTCTGTTTTTGTTTTGTAGATATGCTGATTCGTATCATATTTTAGATTCCACATGTGAGTGCTATCATGGTGTCTGTCTTCTCTGTCTGACTTACTTAGTATGATCATCCCTAGGTCCCATCCACGTTGCTTCAAATGGCATTATTTCACTTCAATCTTGCTGTAATGAACCCTGAGGTGCACGGATCCTTTCGAACCAAGTTTTTCTCCGGATATATGCCCAGGAGTGGGATTGCTGAATCATACGGCCACTCTATTTTTGGCCTTTTGGGGAACCTCCATACTCTTTTTCGGAGTGGCTGCACCAGTTTGCGTTCCCACCAACAGTATAAGAGGCTGGGAAGAACCCTGTCTTGCCTCTCTTCCATCCCGGTGACTCCCAGCACTCTGGTGTGTTTTTGGCTTGTGGCTGCGTGATCCAGTCTCCGTGTCCAGTCACAGAGACTTCTTTCCTCTCTGAGCCTGCCCTCCGCTTTGCATGAGGACATCGGTCATTCAGTTCAGGGCCTGCCCTGATCCAGTGTGACCTTATAACTTGATTACATCTAACTCTTTGACACTGGAGGGAAATGGAAAAAAAACAGACCCATTTCCAAGTAAGTTTACATTCCCCAGCCCACAGATTAGGATCTGAATGTGTCACTTGGGGGAGACCCAGTTTAACCCACTCTGCCCTCTCTTTTCAGGTTTTTCACTGTTTGGTTAGACTCACTGCTGCCCTATGGATGATATTTCTTTCTCACTTTCTATTTTGTGTATGCTGGCCACACTGGGTCTTCGCTGCTTTGTGCGGGCTTTTTCTAGTTGCAGAGCGTGGGAACTACTCTCTGTTGCAGTTCAGGGCTTCTCACTTCCGTGGACTGTTGCTGTAGACTACAGGCTGTTGGTACACAGGCTTGAGTAGTTGCAGCCCGCAGGCTCAGTAGTTGCTTGGTTGCTCCATGTATGTGGAATCTTCCCAGATCAGGAATCGAACGTGTGACTCCAGGGAAGTCCCCAAAACAATGTATTTTTAATGCTTCCTTCTATATGTTTTCTTCCCATGCTCGAAAAAGTAGAGAATTGTGGAAGGTGTTGTTGGAGATAAAGAACCTTAAACATCAGTTAGAACTGGAGTGCCGAGGCAGAGCTGATTAAAGAATGGTCCTGAGCGGTGGATCTCAGGGGCTTCATCTTCGAGTCTTGAGTGTCTGTAGGCACGTGATCCTGGACAAGTCATGCTTGTGTGCTCAGATTTCTTTGCCTACACATCTAGGAATTAGATTAGAAAATATCTACTTTTCAAATAACCTACTTCCACTAGCTCTATGTCCCAATGGTAGAGTGCGATTTCTGGAATGAGTAAAGGATGCTCATCCATACACCACAGTGACACCTGCTGGGGAATCAAGAGTTATCTCTCTGGGTCGGGGAGCTTGGAAAAGCTGATCTCATGTGAGAGAAAACCACGTAGACTCTTGGAGGTCAGCCGCAAAGTTGGACCAGGCAGATTGAAAGGAATGACTTTTGCAGGTCTCTTCCTTGCCTCCTCCTCTTCTTTCAGACATCACCTATCTTAGTTCTGACACTGCCCCAAATTAACTCTGACATCTTAAGCAAATTACTTAACCTCTCTGGGCCTTGATTTCTTCAGTTATAAAACGAGGGTTAAAAATAGCTGCTTTGCATTGCTTTATGAGAATGAATTGAGCAAATTCAATTCCAGACTGCAGTGTGCTGTGTAATTCTTATTTAGGTGGATCATATGTGGACTTTTCTGGCCTCCTGATCCTCATCAAGTATTAAATGACAGTAGTCTGTTCATGTCCGATGAGGGCCAAGGAACAGAATCCAGCTGTTCATGACTTTTGGGAAAGGAGGGAAAAAAACCAAAACCCTAAATGATACCAAGAGGGTAAATTTAATGTTTACTCCTATGAACCTAAAAGATGTGGGGAATTGGTTTTGAAGCAGTAGTTAGTAGCACATGATGGATGGTTATGATCATAAGTCAGAGGTGGGCCAGGGACTGATGGCTCTTCTCTTGGGGAGACCCCAGTGGTGGGGCAGAGCATGGTCGTGGGAATAGCCAGCACTTCATGGGGACCTCAATGAAAGACTGATAACTTGTAAATATTTTCAACATATGAGGATGGGTCTTAAATAGGTTTTTGAGAAAGATTCTTCTCCAGCTGAGGCT